AGTCTAATATTTGTGAGTTAAAGTTCATTATGATATCTTAACATTTTAAATAGCATATTTTTAGCTTACTTTAATTTGCATTTTTAAACTAAGGTTCTTCTAGTAATACCATAACATTCCAAATTTGATCCCCTATCCTTTCTAAATTTTTTTGGTCAATCCAATTAAAGAAAAACAAACAAAAAACTCACTCAAAATCAAATATGTCTGTCTTAACTCAGAAAAACTTTCGAATAGAAGTGAATACTATATTTGAATTACATGTGACAGTGTGCTAAGTCCAATGGAAGTTCTCAAATCTTCCTTTCATCAGTGTATCCTTAGTTTTATCCCTAACTTTAATTCTCTGTGATAATTATTTTGTAGTGAATAATGTGCTATGGTATAACATTAGTAGTTCTTAAATTCAATTGTTACGGTCCCATGCTAAATTGTGAGGAGCAATTTATCGTCGCACTCAATGTGGTAAGGACTATTTCCTGTTGTTTTCAAAGCAAAAAGACAGCATTATTTATTTAGTTGTGATAGTAGGATACTCATATTTTGCCAACACTGGAGCAGGATATAATGATTTGTTTGTTTGGTAGAAGCTCAAACATCATGTCATGAAATAAAAGCCCAAGGCATAGACCGACCATGAATTCACTCTCTCTTCAGTATATCATCTGGTTATGTTCCCAATTTCCTGCAGAACAGTCTTTACCCATCATGACCCTTACTATAGTTTATAACTTTAACAGTTGAGTTTTTTATAGCATGACTTTTTTTTTTCTCAAAATTGCCTGGTGTAGCAGCACTATGTAAAAGAATAAATAATTTTGAGTAACTTGCCTTTCAGTTGCACTTTTTTCAGACATGCATTACCATGGCCAGCAAGGATCAGGGCAAGACTGAATCCAGACTTCAAACATGTTCTTTTCTGCACTCATGATAGCTGTATATGTGGTAAGCTAGAAGTATAGGAACACAGGTAAAGTGAGACTGCCAGATGGCTATAAGAACCTTGAGGAGAATACTAATATGCCACAAATACCTTATTAAGAACTGGGCGTGTGGACAAAACATTCTGAAGTGCTTGAGGGACATCTTTATTGCCCTCTTTATCCATGCAAAATATAGCTGGTGTACGACGATCGTCATAAAATGGTGGTTTCTTCCACTGATCAAAATTTGTTTGAACAAGGAACCAATCTCCAGTCTGATTCTTATGCTTCTGGCCAAGAGGCCAAATATTAAAATCATTACGTCCTCTTGTGATGATGCTACCCTGCAAAGAATCAAAACTAAAGTCAACAACAATTTTCTTTAAAGGAATGAATAAAAATAGTACCATAACAATAAGAGCATACCTCTGAAGGTGATACTCCTGAAAGAATAAAATAAACAGGAGCGACAAGAGGGGGCTTTGCCAACTCTTTTTGAGCGCATGAATAACTAGTGCACTTCTCCATAACTTCCCTAGTGAGAAAACTTATCCACTGCTGATTTCGCATTCCTAATATCCACTCTACTATACCCACATAGCCACCATCAAGTTTAAATCGCTCATCAATACTGAGTGCAAATTTTCCCTGGAAGAGTAGGACAAATATGGTATGTGGTTGGTTTCAACATCTAGACTATTTGAACATGAATATCACAGTCTTGTTGACTCACAGGTTTCAGGGCTGTTAGAATACCAGTATGTCCTGCATAACTAATTGACTGGTAGAGAGTTTTGTTTCCTTGAGTGAAGTTTAATTTAACAACAAGAGGTTTTAATAGGTTTGTTGTTAGCCAAGTATGGTTTGCTGGGTCCCAACTATAAAATGAAAACAAATCAGGCACAGCAGTTATTACTAAACTTATTTCATCAAAGAAAAAAAAAATTGTTCTACAATTTTAGAAAATTAGATTTATATGCATGCTATACACACCCAAGGAAAAGACCGAAGTCTAGGTTTCTCCCATGATACAAGACTCCCTCCTCAGATTTAGCAACAATTGATGTGCAAACACTAAAGAATTCGTAAAATACATTAAACAAAGTTATTTCTCCAACACTCAAACCCGTTGCGCTTGAGATTCCAAGTAGTTCTTGTCTGTATTCAGCTGGTAATGTTTGAGTGAGAAGGGGCAGGAATTCATTGACCATCCAGAAGAGACTTTTGCCAAAGAGTTGATCACAGTTTTGTTTTATACTTTCTATGAGTGCAATAATCTGAAAGCAGCAGTAATGTACTTTGATTTAAGGCTGAGATTATGGGTAAGACAGTCATTAACTTGACACTTTTGAGTTAATACCTTCTCTCTTTTGTCGGATACTAATTTAGTCCACCTGTCCTCTGCAGGTAAATCTAGGTTTATTTCGTATTCTGGTATTTTGCTGTAAAAATTAATTTAAAATGAGATTAAGTCAGAAGAATTTCAAGTTATTTAAATTTTCTGCCAATAGTACTTACAACACAGTTGGTGGTGTAACATTTGTTTCACAGTGGTCAAACTGAAAAAGATTTTTTTGATACTTAACTACAAATGGAAAGACCTGCAATTTTGAACTTTATAGTAATAGTGTTTGACGATACATACTGGAGTTATGTTGTGCGGATTAGTCATGGCTGAGGCAAATGGAAGGGTTGCTTTGATGCTTAAGATCTTGGCATCAGGGTCAGGGTACTTATGTGATGCTGCTAGATAGCATTGCACAAGCAGGAGTACTATCCACATTTTCTTCATTGTCTGAGACAAAAATAGTTAATTAGAAGGATGCAACAAGTAAAATTATGTTTTGAGATTGCTCTGTGAAAATCAAGGGGAATAGGTTTACCTTTGAAGAAACTAAGAAACATGAATAATATTTAAAACATTTATTTATTGAGCAAAATAATTGGCATGTCACTTGATAACACACATCTTTATTGCAAAATATAAAAAAGTCGGTCAAACAGTACTACAAGCTCAACTTTCATTGATGTTCAAGAGACTGTCTCTTAATATAAGACACATATAAATAACAAACAGTAAGAAATAACTTGGCATGACATTCTGAAGAAATGGTCATAAAACTATTAAAACATCATTTTACCAACCTAGTCTTTCTATTTTAATTTACTTTCGTAGAAAAGTTAACAAATAAACTATGCATAAGTTTGCATTTGTCAGCATAACTAGATAAGCAGTTCAAACATACATGATTGATATCTTGTCAATTTGATACACTAATAACAAAAAACAAACATTAAAGCTAGATTTAAAACTAGTTGCTTTGGTGCCTATCTTATGCAACTATACTGCTGGCAGTCCACAGTTACAAAGGTCCCCAAGTTGTCAAGAGCTGCTCCTTTGGCTTCCATTGGAGAGTGGATTTTGATTTGTCTCACATGAGTGTCTCGTCCATTTTGATGATTACTAAGAACAGCAATTTGAATCATGAAAGTCCTGATGGGTCTCTCATGAATGTCTTTTAATGGTATACGAACCCAACCATTTGGTTCATTGAGTTCTATCACTTCAACTTCCTGAAGATCGTTAAAATTGGTTCCTGCTCTGATGGAGATTCTGTTCAATGAAATATACAGTTAAAATCGATAGCAATGAAAACAAAAATGATTCAAAACTAAAGAAAAGTAACATACCGGCTTGGACAGTAACTCTCATCAATCTTGTAATCAAAATAAATACAAATATCTCGTACAGTGGTCTTTCTTCTAAACTGAATATTTACGAGATGAGGCAGTTGACCATCAGATTGCCAATAGGTGTCCATACAATCATCTCTCAACTGTCCAATACCGTTTCCTGAAAAAAATGATTTTATGATCATCGCAACCTCACACATAACAAGTTTCAATCTTGACATAAGTTGAGGTTAAAAGGTCCCACACAAGCTTGATCCAATTTTCTTTAGTTTTATCAAAAGTTTCTTTGATGACTGTAATAAGGAATAAAAACTAATTAACACCAACCTGGCTTACAAGAGGAGAGACTCCAAACCGCCTGCGACCCAACTTCTCGAACCTTGCCTGCACGTTCATCTTTGGCGGGATCAATGTCCCCTCCAGATCTAGCCGTGGCAGCCATCGCAGTAGAACTTATCTTATGTTTCTATCTAGCAGGAACTCTTCAAGTCACTAATTCGATCAGAACGTTAAAATTTTCTTGTGATCTTCGTTGAACGAATGTCGTCTCATTTCTGAACCATTTGAATGACAGTTGTGACAAGGAAGACTACGGTAGTATGAGAAATTAGTGGGTCTTTTAATTTTTCATTTGTTTTTTGAGGTGGTAACTGGCGCGAACTTTGACCAGTGCCGTTGATCTATGCACATGCACAGCAACTGGCAAACCGCAGTCGCACTACTGGGAAAAGTTACTTCGGTAGTATTTATATCAAGGATGCTTGAAGTTAACGTTCAACTTTCCATTCGGATGATCAAAGTTAACGTTCAACTCACCATTATTACTATGACACAGTATTGTTTCGGGGGTACAGGGGAGATCCTTCGGGTTAAGGAGAGGGTAAGGGTAAGTGTGTGTGTGTGGGGGGGGGGATTAATCAATTGCGGCCCGGTTGCAGCAGGACCCGCGCAGGGGTAGAAATGACAGCGACATATTTAAAATGTGGTGTAGGGCCGGCTTTCGTTTCCGCAGCAGTGTTGTTGTAAATCGTAGTTTTTTGTCGCCGAATGAAACCCTGCTGCTTTTGCTCAACCCGGAAACAACCAGCACCAAGTGCATCAAGCGGAAAGTGTCCCCAGCTGCGTGTGTGATGTGTCTTTGATTGAACGTCGCGTCTCAGAAGAGGATTCTTGTTTTTGACGAAGGGCCCGGGCCGGGGCTCTCCACCAGAGCCCTGCACCGAGCGAGCATCGGATGCCTACATGGCGTCCGAAAGCGGTTGTGGGAGCGAGAAGCTCGCGCCGGGCCATAGCTCCCTCTCACTCCGATTCGCTTTCGGACGCCATGTA